GGGTGCAGACCCGTCTTCATCCAGGAGGGTGCAGGCTCATCTTCATCCAGTCCATCTCGTCCAGGCCCAATAGTCTTCATCTTGTTCTACAACATTTATAAAGGAACTATGTAAGCAAAGGACATACTATTCTCGTAATGAGCAACAATGGAAGGAAACTTTAGGATCAAAATATAGGACAAGCATATAGTATGCAATTTGTTTCAGAAATAACAGTTGGCATACCCAGTTCTCTTCTGAAGTCCTGATGGTGTATAACTTAAAGGCATTCACTTGAATGTTTGATTTTTGAATCACTTTCCTTCCTGACCAATTCACTTTTTTTATTTTTGGAAGTGAACCTACCTCCAGAATTGGTCATGGCATCAAGGTTACCATATAGGTTCATCAGCGCTATTCTGGCTCCAAACAATCAATGATGCTTCATCTTTTAAGTATTTTCTTCCCATTTGCTATCCTTCAAATTCCTGTGGAAAAAAAAACTCTCGGCCCAGGCTAGCTGGGTTGCATTAGTAACATGATTTTCGATTTCGGCTTCTTCAAAGGTTAGAATTTTGAGCAATTTTCTTGGAGGTTTTTGAAGAAAAAAGTGCTAGTATGCATGTACAGGTTTGATCTTGTAAATGACAATGTACTGAGCATTGGCACTGCATATACCATCAAGGACGAATTACACTGCTCTGTTATTTCAATTTTGTGATATAAAGAATCCTCAAAGTTTAGCTACTGTAGTGTTCCGGTCAGCAGAATCTTGAATTACCCAACACTTTTCAGTGAGAAAATTCGTCTAGAGATTGGTATGTGTGCATCTCACCAGTCTTCCTTGGCTATCATGCCGAATTGGTTCATAATCCTCATTTCTACCCTTGGTGGCATGAATCATTCAATTGTCTCACTGGAGCAACCTCTCTCAGCCTCAGGTCAAGGATTTGTGATCTTTCAGCTGAGGTCTGCAATGCACTAAAGACAGAAAAGAGAACTTGTGAATCAGTCAGTATTGAGATATATCACTAAGGACTTTCAAAACACCTTTTATAGGAACAAGTAATTCTTGACACTGTCAGCCATCAATTTCATGAATCCACCTTTTTAGTTTGTCTCTTAGTTAATTCGCCCATCTTCTTCTAAGTTTGGGTGAGGTTGCCATGCACACAGGTAGCCTCTTCATCTCCATCTTGGTTTTGCAATTGGAGCTGTGGATCACCAATTTTTACAATACTTTCTCTATGCTTATTTTAACAAACTAACCTTTCAAATTAGGAGATGTATACACATGTACTCTTCAGGCAGGGTCCTCACTTCATCTGGTGACCCTCCTCTGTCCCTTCATTTTATCCAAGTAGGATGATTGCTCAATTTTAATCTCCTCTGGCCTGACAGGTCCTCGTATCTTGGATTTTGAAGAAAAAGTATGTTCCTGAATAGTTAGAGAGCTGAAGCTAAATTTCACAATTACAGTCAAAAGTGAACATTCAGAGTCAATAATATTTAACATCTTCAGTAGTTTCGGTTTACAGTCATGTTCGGGTTAAGCTACAAACATAAAATCTGCTATTGGCCTGTTTAGAAAGAATAATTTAGCAGTGTCTTCTGCGACTAGTAATCAGGCAATAGTTAAGAGATTTGAATAATTTTACTCACCCAGAGACTTGTTGAATGATGGCACAACAAGTAAGATCCTCAGTTCATCTGTTTGTCTTCCTCCAAGTTCCAGCTCCAGTTCTTCAGTGTTGTCTTTTATGATGTGAGTAGCCATGGGTCATCCTTGTCCAGATGGGCTGCAGGCTCATCTTCATCCAACCAGATTTATCATTCAGGCCTTGAGGTCTTAATCCACCCTGTAGAGCATTAATGAAGAAAGGCAACTTGAAAATCAGCGAAGGTACAAGCATGTACTTTGTACATTGCAAATGTATAGTTTGTGAAAGTTACTACCAAGCAAATGGCCTATTTCTTCTTGTAATCAATAACAATGGAAATAAACTTAGGATCAGAACACATGACAAACATACAGTGCATGCACATTTTGTTTCAGACTTAACAGTTCAAGTACCCAATTCTCCTTTCCATTGAATTGAATGTTTAATATTTGAATCACTGTTCTTCCTCCTCATTTCTTTGTTTGGAAGTGAACCTACCTCCAGAATGGGTAACGGCATCAATGCAACTATGGGTTCGTCAGTGTCTCCTTCTTGACTCCTCTGAATCAACGACTTGTCATCCTTTTGAGTTTCATCTTCCTGTGTGGCATCTTGTAAGTATCTGTGAAATAAAAAAATCTTGGCCTAGGCGAGCTAGGTGGCATTAGTAACATGATCTTTCAGTTCAGCATCTTTAAAAGATTAGAATCTTGAGCAATTTTGTTGGGGAGGGTTTCCGAAGAAATCAGTGCTAGTATGTATATAGAACTTTGCTCTAATGCACTGTTCATGTAACATCAAGATTGAAACTGCTTAGTTGTCTCAATTCTGTGATTAAAGGAAACCTCAAGGTTCAGCTACTTTGTTGTTGTTCAGGTCCGCAGAATCTTGAATTACCAGACACTCAAGCAGTTGCTCAACCTGCTTAGAGTGATACCATTTTTTTCTAGGGACTGATATGTGTCTATCTCACCATTGTCTCTTGGTTATCTTTCTAAGTTGGTTCCAAATTTTCTGCCTTTGGTGGCATGAAGCAGTCATTCAATTGTCTCACAGGACCAACCTCTCTCAGCCTCTGGTCAAGGATTGGTGATCTCTTGGCTAAAGTTCTGTAACATACAAAAAGAGGAAAGAAAATTTGTGAATCAGTTAATACTGAAAGATGGCACAAATAATGTCTAACTTTTCATTTGTCTCTTCATTCAGTTAATTTACTTGAAGAGAAATCAATTCATTATCCTCTGCCTTTGTTTGGCTGGTGTTGCTTTTATGCATACAAGTAGCTTCTTCCATCCTTATTTGCATTTTGAAAGTCTTAATTTATACAATCACAAACCAGAAAGATGATTTTGCAATAAGAGGTCAAAAACCCACAGTCAGGTGAATGCAGAGGCAAAACCATCAAGAGGTAGGTATGGATCACCAATGTTTACAATACGTTCTATGCATGTTTTAACAAACTAACCCTTAAAATGAGGAAATGTATGCTCTACAAGCAGGGTCATCAGTTCATCTGTTGGTCCTCCTCCCTGCTTCCGGTTCCTTGGTTTCATCTACAGCAGGATGATTGTTTGATCAATGTCACATCTGACCTGACCTCTGGCCTCATATCCCGGATACCTAGGCTAAGTGAACTTGGAATAAAATACTAAAGCCCAGCCAAGTAGGCAACTCATTAAATGAATTATGTCAGTCAAAGCAAAACACAATTTGGTACTAGTTTACCTTTCAACAAAACACCGTTCAGTAGTTATTTTACCTTTTTTATAAAAAAAAATACTAGAATTAATACATTACAGTTGATGTGGCTGGAAGTACGCACAGATGTACCGAGGCTGGTTAAATATTCCTCGTAAAATAAATCAGCTTTACATGGGCATTACGACAGTAACCACGTGCTAGCTGCTTCTTTAACAAGATTTTACCGCTGAATTTGGCACTGCTTATGGACATGTGGCGAATTCTTACAGACTTTTCGTCTTTTCTACAGAGGAGTTCAGGATGCTATTAATTTTCTCGCCGATACTTCAAGATCGGGCTTACAATAACAAAGATCATATGGCGAGTTGCAAATCTAACAAATTACAGAGGAAATGCACCTCTTGCCGACCTTTTCTGCCGGTCTTACAAAGGCTCTAAAATATTTTCAAGAAAACAGAAAGCATATGAACTGTAACTTTCCCCGCCGATCTTTGTAAATCGGACTTACATGTA